TATGTATCAAAGAAAATGTTCAAGTAGTTTTTGTAATTACTGTATGCGATATCTTCATTCCGATAGTTTATTGAAGAGAACAGTTGTTTAAGAAGAGCGAATGCAATGTATGATGCATTTGTCATTCCGGTTGGTTTAAGTCATGAAATTTGATCCTGCCCCAATAATACGGCCACCCTGTTAATACCGCCAAATTTTTAAGACCCATTGGTGACCGTTTTAACAGGGTTCAACTGTACTGAAAAGGAAATAAGGCCATGGAAAACTGTGAGTGGCAAAGACAGTTTAGTGTACATTAAAGAATGTGATAACAACATACTCTGGACAACATGTACAGCTGGGCATTTGGTATGTCATGTAAGCCACATTTTAAAATGAAGATTGCAAACAAAATGAAAATCAGAGAAACCTTCTCCTGCCGAAATAATTCACACAGCAAGTGTTCTTAGCATATCATTTGACTTCTACTCACCCTATCAGGACATCTGCTGACATGGTGCCGAATTTCCGATCTTAACATAACGTGTTTTGCGTTGAAAGGACAAGTTACGAAGTCCTTTTCAGGGTGATTCTCTCGGCATTTTAACAAGTGTTTTTGAAATCTTTTGGCTTTTATCCTATGCAATTCATCGAACGGACATACTAATAATTTTTCTGGATCCCAGCGAGACCAATCTTCGGGTGCAGACCACGCCATATTTCAGCAAGGAGACTCATCGAGAACACAAACCCTGGAACTCGAAAACCTTCGATAAGCGGAGACCGGTCAGCGGGTTGGCTTTGCGTTCCAGGCGTCCAGGCTTTGATTAGGACCAATGTAGTTATTTTTCTCTCCACTGTCTTTTAGTTAACAACAGTCTTTATTTAATGAAATACCAGTATAAATGAAATTATTTCCTCTTATTAATTTATTTTATTTTATTTTATTTTCTCCGTGGTCTGGTCTATTAAACGCGAGACGGAACACTGGGACGAGGTTGACTGGGGACGAAGTTACCCCTGCTGACGTCACAGTCCACAGTCACCTATCTGTCCGCCATGACGGTCGACCGACGGGAAAGGTCAGAAAGTTTTCCGGCGCCAAATTTGAAGTTATGCTGAGCAAAACATGGGACGACGGTAAGACATTCATGTTTGAAGTGTTAAAATCTTAAAGTAACGTTTTAAAGAGGAAGAAATTATTTGATATCCGATTTAAAGGCGCTATTTGAAAAAGTGTTTATTGTTTTCCGGCTACGGAAATCTTGAATTTGCTTTGAACCGGCCTACCCCATTATAGTCTATCCTGTGGTCGAACATAGAGGCTATCTTAGTTACTTTTGGAAAAATGTAATTTTCGCGATCCCAACTTAGTCAAGAACTTTCTGTTTACCGTTATTTCAAGAAAGGTTATCGGAAAAAGTGCACGCAACAATCCCACATCTCACGGTTACCCACAGCCTGAACTTCGTAGACCCAGACACAGGTGCCCACACACAGGGCATCGAAAATACATGGTGGGGAGTGAGCGAAGTTATCCCCGTACAGGAACATCCAAAGAACTCTTCGAAAGCTACCTACAGGAGTTTATGTGGCGTAAGCATTACGGAGAAAACCCCTTTGGAAACATATTGAAGCATATCGCTGAACTTTATAGACTTTATAACGTCGGAAACGACATATAAATGCGTAAATATATACCACTCTATGCACCGTTCGTGATCTAAAGCTATCGACATTAAGATATGGAACACAGACAGATGAGACGTACGAGGCATGTACCTGAGGAAATATTTCAGGGATAACAAAACTCGGACGAACACAGCTACAAAGGTAGGACTTTATTTCATTTTGTTTAGCGTGTTCAATTCGGAGATTAGTTTAGGGAATTTAATGCTCTGCGCTACGAAATATTTTGTTTTAGTTTTGCGAAACGGGCTTAATTAAATAGCTAGGTTTAACAACAGAAAAAAAGGAAAAAGATTTGTTTGAAAAAGTTTCGATTTTTTTGCCAAAAGAGCCAAATTTAGGGCGTTTTAAAAAAGACTTTGAAAAAAAAAAAATAAAAATTTTTATTATAATAGCTGAAATCCCAAAGGCCAACTATTGTTATTTCTTTTGTTTTCTTTTAACAATAGATAAATGCATAATTAATGTATGGGGTTATACGGAAATCTTGCCCACTGTTCTTCAAAGAAATTTGAAAGAATGGCACGGGGGCCACGGACATATGTTTGCGTGCGCTGAAGGAAAGCAAAGCCCTCAGACCTTGACACAAATTCGACTGCAGAGCGCCGAAGGGGCGAGGGGCGAGCGAAAATGAGCGAAGTACCAGCAGAAATTAAACCGGAAATGGGCTTTGGGAATGTCTAATGAGTACTCAGGCTCGACTACAAGTCGCTGTTTTATGAGCTTGGGCCGAGAAAGCGATGGCGAGGCTAATGTGCACTTACCACTATTCCATCAGCGTTTGGCTTGACAGTAATATTAATTTATTGGTCAAATTGGAAAGCGTACTGAGGCTGAAGCCAGATCTACTCACACCTGGCATGCGTGCTAAACCTGCCAACTTTGCGTGTGATTTCCGTATCCACATTTCCCGAATTTCCGAAAAAAATCCGATCAATTCCGAACGGTGCCGAAGATGTTTCGACGAATTCCGCACGTTACCTAAGATTCCCAAATATTTCGCCAAAGGTTGCCAAGTGTAGCGGGTGCGAAGCGCCAAATCTTGGCACCACTTTGCCGAGATTACACCTATCTCATCTTGGCGAGATTACAAAGCAATGCTATCGTAAGATCTCCCCGAGATCACGCGTCATGTAATATTCAATGGTACCATTGAACAATGCAGCGTGAGCAGGCAAACAAAAAATGTAACTGTCTTACGTTGTTCAGTGATAACACCTATTCCAGTTCATTTACTATGTTTAAATTTAAAATTTAATTAAACTAGGTTTTCAAACGGTATAAATTGTGACACCCCCCCTCCCCCCCATATGATTTCAGGGACAAAGGTGATAACATACTCTCAACACGCTCCCACTTTACAGCAATTGAAATTGACTATAACACGCTTATAAAGTCCTCAGTTATAGGTGTTATTTTTTTTCCCCACTGGAAATTATTGTAATATTCAACCCTCGTTGTCAAAGGTGCGCCTCACTGATGCTCAAAGAAAATAATAATAATAATAATAATAATAATAATAATAATAATAATAATAACAACAACAACAAAAATGTATTTGCGCACATTTATCATCTTCGCATATAAAACTAGAGCTTCCATACTGGAAATGAAGTGCTGCCACAAACTTGTTTTTATTTCAGTTATGATGCATAAGTTTTTAAAAGGCAAAACAGTTTCAAATAAACAAAAACACAGAACATAATGTAAACAGTCAACGCCCAAAGCGACAGACGGTAATAGTTTTATCCCGGTAAGAATTGTTCTGGACAGTTTCTATCTGCTTATTTTCTATTCTGAGAAATTCTCAACTTGAAATTTGACGTTTACCGTTTGCTGTAAACGTGAATCTTTTTCTTTATGTACAGCTCTAAGCGATACCTGAATGAGCAACTATAGTGACTTTCCGTCCCGAACATCCTTAAGACAAAAATCTGCAATTTACACTCTTCAGCAAGACTTCGAGCATCCCTGTCACTTTTATACGGAAGTCCCCCCCCCCCCGGGAAACAAAATCAGACAAAATAAGGAGATGAACATGATTCTTGCAGTTTAATATTATTGACAAGCCTGATACAATCTTGGACCATTACAGTCAGTCCTGTTTGGAATGTGATACGTATACATCATGGTCTCAATCACATTATTGCCAGCCTGGCCTGAATATTTCACGAATGTTTTCAACTTGTTCCTGTGTGTTTTCTTTGACCTCACGCAAGTTCTCTCTCTCGTGTGTAACCTCTGTCTCACGTGCGATCTCTGTTGGATGTTTGGAACATTTTCCAGCAGAGGGACCAGTGACCCTAACAGAAAAACGAAATATACAAAAACGGAGAACACTGTCATGCAACACATTAACGATCCAATTTCATGTTATTAAAATAAATGAAAGTACCGTATCTATTCGATAATCCGGGATCTAAGAGGTACTCCCTACAACGGGGAGACAGCGCCAGAATGGGATACCTTTATCAGGGGCACCCAACGACTGTTTTCTATAAAATATCTGTTCGGAGAAGCAAATATTGCCTGGGATTTTCTATTAATTGAGGAGTGCTAAAAATTTGCAGATGACTGTTCTTATGTATTCATGTACAATTTTCGAAGCTCATCTAAAAGACTCCCTACTATTTTCCGAAGTTTAATTTTTCACATTTCACTCCCCAGGTTAAGCTATTTTTCGTTCGAAAAAGGAAGCTTAAAATTTTCGGATTCAAAAATGTGATGGAGAGAAGAGTCAGAAAAATTCTCACTTTCGTGATACGTTAAATTGCATCTAAAACTTTCGGGAAAATAATACTAAAGCCCTTGTAATTTCGAAAGGACTCAAGTTCCCCCCAGGATGACCGAACAGATATAAATTTTATAGCGCCGCTTAGAATGCATTTCTAGAGATCTAAAAGTACTCTGGATAGTTTAAAAAGTACTTTTAATGTATGTTGGAGGAAACCGTCGTTGGGTGTCCCTGCTTTATTCTCAGGCTTCAGGTATATCAGAGAGGCGCTTTGGATAGCTGCAGGTCGACCTATATGAAAGGGTAGCGAAATCTGTTATTGTGGTATGCAAAAAAGGTCCAAAAGGGTTAACAAATGAATTTTATGGCTATAAAATGTCAAGAAAACCCTCTGGTTTTGGGATTGATTCCAATTTAAAAGACAGGGAATTTACAGCAGTTAAAAGAAAGGGGTACCATTTGTCCATGGAAGATATACAAATGGGGTACCTCTTTCAACGTGAAAAATCGTGTATAACTGAAGGGTAAGGGGTTGGACCTCGGGGCAGGGCCTCCCCGTATCAAACTTTGTTAAGTACCCCCCCCCCCCAAACCTCCC